ACTTCAACTCCCAGAGTCCCCTTTGGGGGGTGGGGAATTCTGGGAGTTGAAGTCCACCCATCTTCAAGCGGCCAAGGTTGAGAAACCCTGGCGTAGAACTATCCAGTTTAGGACACGGTGACTGCCTCCTTTTCAATCCCTTGACGGTGAGTTCCGCAGATCCACTGTCCGATTTCTTTTCTCGCTCTTGAATCTTGGCCCCTTTGGTCAAAAGGAGAAAAATGGTCTCTTTTCGCCCTTTTCACCCCTCCGTGATTCTTGCTCATCTTCCTTTACGTGCCTTTGCCTGAAGTGAAGAAAAGAGCTTCCACCAAGAGGAGCAGTCTACCTGTGGAAGTCGGGGGGAGGTCCCTGACAGGTGCAAGGAGGTGAGGCGAGCTTGTGGTTGCAATGTGAGAGGGCGAGCACTGGTTCGGGTTGACCCCGATTAGAGTTTCTTAAATCAGAATCTTTTTAGGAATATCCGTCTTTCCCTGGCTTAGAGGGAACGTGGGGGGAGACACAGATTTTAGTCCCCTTCAGCCACGGAATGTCCCTGGGGGGGCTTGGGGCCGGACCCTCCCTCTCAGCCCAGCCTACCTCGCAGGGCTGTTGTCGTAGGCAAAATTCACAGAGGAAATAAGATCGCCATCCACATAGAATCGCTTGGGGAAAGGGGGTGGCGTCGCTGCAAAGGTGCTGGACGAGGCGCTGGGAGAGTTTGGGCCCCTCCCTCTCTCTCGGCCTGGCCTACCTCGCAGGGACGTTGTAGAGGACGTTTAACCCGCCATGAGCACGCACCTGAGCCTCCACCCGGCTCAAAGCAAGCAAACGAACTCGTCCAAATTCGGAAGTGACTCAGGGAAGAGGATCAGGCTGCAGGTTGTAAGTTCTCACGTGCTCCGGCTGGGAGTCAAACCAGTTCAGCTTCATTCCAAATGAGTTGCGAGAGCCGTTTTCCGGCACTCGGGGCCCAGCGTGGCCGATGGGAGCTTGCCGATGACCCGGGCGAGCCCTGGGGGCCACCGGGGAGTTGTGGAGAAGCCCCCCGCAAGATTGGCTGCCTGTCTTTGGGGTGTCTTTGGGCCCTAGGACGAAAGGGGGGAGCCAGCTTTGAACCCCTCGCTGGCTGAAAGCATCCGGGCGAGAGGTAAGCCAGTGTGAATAAGAGCAGTGGGTACGTCCACGTGTGTTTGTGTGCGGGCGAGCGTGTGTAGGAGAGACACCAAAAACCCTTTAATTTTAACACTATGCCGCTGATCCAATTGAGTATTAACCATATATTTAAGATACCCCCTAATCTAAGGCATATTAAACCGCCGGAATTATATGACATTAAATGATGATTAGAGCACCATCATCCGTCTTGGTTTTCGCTCTCTCGCTCCCTGGCAAAAGCGGTTGGCGTTTCCCGGGTTGCACCATACTCCGTTTTATCGCTAGGAAAAGAAAAAAAATTCAGCGTCGCCTCTCTCTTTTACAGTATTAAAAGGAGAACGCGAAGGCGACGCTCCCTGTATTTCAGTTGTAGTCTGTTGGCTGGGATAGCATTTATGTTATGATTTCCTTTAGCTAAAATACCCTGCCCCAAAGCGCTTACAATAGAAACGTGGCTATTTGAGGGGGGAAACGGGCAAGGAAGGGGTTGGTTTGTGCGAGCAAAAAGAATTAAGACCCGGTGTTGGTTTAGTCTTCTAACATTTGGTTTTGCTTGCCCTGATTTATTGATTTCTCCCACACTTTTGTCTTTTCTGCATCGTTCATCTCTAGGGATATTTGGGAGCCGTTTTTCAGGGTCTTCCCCCCCCCGTGTTTCATTTTTAATTTTTTTTAAATACAACAGGGACGTAGCAAGGCTCTAGTCCTCAAGGTCATTGAGGGGCAGCCGAGGGCCGCATTCTGGATGCAGAGAAAGGGTGGCTCCCCAAAATCTCTTTTGTGATCTCTCAAGCCCCAAATTGGGGCCCTTCCTGGCATTTGAGAGGGCTGGAAGAGGCAAAATTTTATGGATTCAATTTATATAGCCGCCCATGTCAGACTAGTGACTCTGGGCGGCTACATAAATTGAATTAATAAAATAAATCAGATACATCTTCAGAATCCAAGCCCATTTTGCCTCCTCAAGCCCTTCGACAAGAGGTTGAAGCTGAAAGTTTGCTTACAGTATCTACTAATATTCTGGCAACGTCAAGGCAAGCCCCTTTGAGATTTTTTTCATGGAAAGCACAGCGCAAAAGCTTTGCATTCAGACTGTGGCTTTTGGCTCCGCTCGGGGAGTGAACCCAGCCAACTCGGCTCAATAAACCATAGTTTAAGAAGCCATGGTTTAGGGTGACATGCAAACCCAGCTCAGACTTGGCTTATTCATTGCGCTAAGCTGTTATGTAGGTGATTTGGTTTTGACTATGGCAAATACATACCCAGCTGTTGACATTTCTGAACCAGAGGCTATGGACCAGTGTTTCTCAACCTTGGCTGCTTGAAGACGTGTGTGCCTTCACTCCCCAACATACCGGGGTGGGGACTTCGGGGATGGGGAG